TCCCCCTCCCCACACTCTCCCATATAGGGCATTTGCCATCACAGCTCAGGTGACAGGCACAGCCCTAAGTCATCTTTCCAGCATCTCACAAGCTAACGTTACCTTCTGATAAACAACTTTGTTCTTCATTTTTTTACTTGCTAAAATGTCGGCAGGGCTCATGAAAGGTTCTGCGTTGGCAACCATGGAGCCAGAAGTCTCCTGTTTAGTCATGGTACTAGCAGAGTATTAACAGCAGCAATATGTGCTTTGCCAGTGGGCCTCAACTGTCTAGAACTCACTCACTCCACAGTGACTCTGATTTTCTCCCCTCCCCACATTGTTTTTTATTTTTCTCTGTCCTTTTTATCTTAACACATTATCAATTTATCTTCACCATTTTAGTATCAGTCATTTGTCCCACTTCTGCAATTACCCTTAATATCCCCTTCTCTCTCTCTCTCTCTCTTTCTCCCTGCCTAACTCAATTTCCCATTTCTCTGGTCTCTTTCTTTGTGCTGATATTCTTAGTTTCCGTTTTTCCCATTTTTATAGTTTTGTATATATGGGGGAAATATGCACAATAGCCAATGAACTGTTATATGTATTATTCTATTAGAGATATTCTGATTTCCTGAATGTCTTGCAAACCTTTTGTTTTGTTTTGTTGCTAGACAACACCTCCCCCTTCTTTTTTCTTTCTGTTCCTGTTGCCATAGCACCCCCATCAGTCCAAGCACAAATGACAGACAGAGCACAGCCATCACTATATAAATAGGTTGTTTTTAAGTGCAGTTCCTGCCCCATGGCATGAGCTGCTTGCGCCATATATTTGAAGAGAGAATTTGAATCATGTCATTTTTGCCCCTTAAAGCACCATGGCTACACTGAGGCCGATTGGTTTGGAAGGGGAAAAAGATATCACTTCAAAATAGTCCCTGTTTCCACAGCTAAAGAATTGTAAACCAGTGTCAGTCACTTTTTCAACCTGCAGGGCAAGCAGTTTTCCATGAAAACTCCAAACCCCAGTCAATATATGTATATACTTGCTTAGTTTATAAGAATAAAAACCAGAAGCAAGTTTGTATGGGATGGAGGGTCTAAAAGTGACTGCAAAGAGGTGGAACTTACTTCCTTAACCAAAATACCAAGGTATGCATAAGCATGATTGTGATTTAACTTACACCCATTTTACATTCATGTAACTCCACTGGGCCTGATTTTTCATGATCTTGCAGTAAAGCTGGTTGGAAATTTTGCGATGGAAGTGCCGTGTTGAAAATGATGTTCATCAAAATCAAAATGTTTTGCTGGAACATGGTACTTTTGATAAAATTTGACAGAAATAAATATGAAATGATTCCAAATCAAAATGTATTATTTTGTTTTGACCTCATTTTGTTTTGACTTTTATATTAATTTTAATATAAGTATATATATAATTATACTTAATATGTATGTGTATATATTATAACATTTTGACATTATCTAAACAAAATGTGGGATAAGGTTGTTTTGATGTTGCCAAATCAAAATTTTAAGTAATTTTCATTCCACAATTTTTTTGTTGTTGAAATTCTGACTCTTCATCCCAATTCGGAATGAAAACAAATTTCAAAATGTCAGAATTTCCCACTGGATGGAAATTCTGTTTTCTGACCAGCTCTGCCTTGCAACTTGTATAATTTACACTTGTGCAAATGGAATACCAAATCAGCATGGTGTCCTTTTATACCTACTTTGCACTACTGAAAATGATTGCACAAAGAGAATCAGGCTTATTGACTGCAGTGGAGTTAGTCTTGATTTACAATGAAGAGAGAAGAGAATCAGACCTACAGTGTCCAATGTGCATGTCTCACATTCAAGGTACTATTCATCAACTGTTATTAATGGATATCATGGTTTGTGTGCTTACCAGAAGTATATTAAATTGTTAATGAAGACAATGTAAGGTATATCATATGGCTGTAATTTAAATTGAAAAATAAAAACAAAAATTAAGAGCCTCTGAGTTTAGGTTGAAACTCCACTATTAACTTACAGCATTTAAGCTTGTGATGTAAGGTGTAAGAATTTATATTGTATTTAGAGTTGAGGTATGGCTAGGTGAGTTAAGGACAGAGTAACAGCTTTACCTTAATAATTATAAGGTTGTCCAGTATAATCTATATATGTACAGGTCTGTAGAAGTGTGTGTATATGTATGCATTGTTTTTATGTTGATATTTATTATAATTATTATCTGTGCGTTATTTTATCCTCGTGGTTTCACAAACAATTTTAGCACTGGGACTATAATTCACAGGAGGTAAAGCCCTGAGTTACTTTTGTAATCCCTGTGCTCACAAATGAACCAATAAGGTTAAAAATACTATCCCACAGATACCAGTTCTGTATATATTTACTGCCGTTTTTCTTCTATATCTGATGTTTACAGTGCTCTCCAGTACACCCAGAATATTTAAAGAACATAATGCCATTCTGAGGCCTTGACAGCATTTTAAACATTAGCTTTTCCTTGTGGCCAGCATATATTTTTCCTTATTGTTGTGGAAGGAAATGTTATAAATGTATTTATCCCAACTATAGTGAAAATAAAATAAAAACCCACCTCATTTATTTCTTGAAGTAATTTCTTCGTATTGCTGTGTGTGTGTGTGTGTTTCCTTTAACAGGATGTGAGGATTTTTAGTGGTAGCTTGTCATTAATATAGTACATGCTCAGGTATAAAAATAGTACAATATCCATAGAAGTATATTTATATGGTATTATCAGAATCCTGTCATCAAATGCATATACTACAATACGGTTACTGTTATTGATCATCGGGAGCTGCTGCTAACTTTCTTAATTATATATTTAAAAGTGCACTAATATTCCCTAACAATGGATTTTTAAAATGTCTGCTTGTACATTACTGTTACTTCACTCCTGAATGCCTGTGTATTGTTGCATTAAACCTTACACTGAATTATCAGAATGCTGCAGATAATATAGTACCATGCAACATGAACTTAATATCCAATCATGCAAATCCTCACTCATTGAGTAGCCCCAAAGCAGTTAATAGGGAGTAATGTCTTCTTGGGTATGTAAAGATTTGCATGATTAGGTCCTTATTTTGTGATGTATCTTCCAAGTAAAGCATTTTGGGATGAAATGTATGGCGTTAAATCATATAGAACAGAAGGAGAATAAAATTAGGAGAGCAAGGAAAGAAACATCTTTTTTATATATATATGAACATTAGAAGAGATGCAGTTGAGTCGGTAAGGGGGATGTAGAGGACCAGATCGTTAGTTGTTGTAAATTGAAGTAGTTCCATTGACTTCACAAGTTAATTTTAAATTGATGCCAGCTGAGTGTCTGGCCCATAGGAAGGCTGTTCCAGATGTCAGAGGTCAGGAGCTGCAGAGAAGCAGACTCTTCTACCAACAGTGGTAAGATTGTGTACATTGATGTAGTGTCACATTATATTCCACAACTGGAGACCTCTACGTTTTATAATTTTCCTGAAATTTACTCTGCTGGAGGGATTCACCCATACTGAAACTAAAGATAATCACCTTTCTCCGTCCCCCACAAGTCGGGGGTTTTCAGGCATCTGTGTTTGTATATACAGCATACAGTTTGTATGCAGCTCAGAAAATAGGCAGAATGGTATTAAATGTTCTTTCCCTTCTCCCTGAAACACATACATATCCTGTTCTAGTATTGATGCCATGAACTAGGTTTCACTGAATGTCAGAGTATTTAAAGAGAAAGGAACATTGGCAGGTTGTTTAGACTCAAATTTGACCTGATTTAGAATTATTTTAATACAATGAAAAATGCCCTGTTGCTGATTTTCCAGCATAATAAAAGTAGCCACTTATCACAGGGTGAGATCAACCCCTAAAAAACATTGCTTAACCTACCAAAGAAAAAAAATCACAACTCCCATTGAAGTCAATGGCAAGTGTCCAGAATGGACATTATCTGACAAGGTTCTCAGCATTTGTGGGACTGAACCCATTAGGAACTCATCTTGCTGGTCTGTAGTAGTTTAGTTCATGACAACTGGTCCTAGATTTGTATCATAATAAGAGCTTTAAACATTTGAAGCAATGTTCAATGAAGAGGAGCACCCAGGCAAGCACACAGACCATTGGTGTGATTTGATTACGGCTCTTTTGGGGCCTGATCCAAAGACCCTTGAAATGAGTGGCAGTGTTTTCATTGTCTTCAATACTTTTTGCATCAAGTCCTTCCTTGGTGCTGAAGTGGACTGATTGCTGTGTGTTGTGCTAGTAGTTGGACTTTCCATCAGTTGTTGGCTGAAGTTCTTCAGACATCATTTTGATTAGTTTTCCTTGCGCATGTGAATTGCTATATTAGACGATAGAACATTTTAATGCTTAGAGCTGTCATGTAGTTTTAGTTGTGCGAAATTCGGAGGTGGATTAAGAGTAGTACAGTTTGTATCCCAGCAATGTGGTCTGCAGGTCCATATGCAGAAGTGAATTAGCCCACCCCAGCAGGTGGCAGACAGCTGACGCCTGCTTGCAAACCACCTGCTGGGGTGAGCTGAGATTGACTTGGGTGCCTCACTAGGGAACAAGATCAAGGAGTTGGGAGTGAGAGAAAGATGAGTACCAATGTGGCTGAGGGAGGTCTGGAAAGGAGGGTTTGTCTTTGGGAGCGGAGAGTGGGAAGAACACACTCTCATGGGGACCCTTGTATTTTTGGAGGATCCATTCTTCACATTCTGAACTCAACATTTATGAAGTGGGAACAAAAAAAAGCAGATATAAGGGATAATCTGCTTTATTGCTGCTCGTTTTATGTAACAATGGTCACAGTAAAAGATAGCATTTCATTGACCTAGTTTTGCAACAATTCTCAAATCACTTGGCTTTTGCATTTCCACCATTTGGCTGGTGTACTGCTTTAGGGCTTTTTAATAATCTCTTCCTTTCTTTCCTCTTTTCCAGCTACTCTTGGTGTTCTTCAGGAGAACTCATTAGCCATTCTGGAGATGGACTTGCTGTCTGGAACCTACCTCTTGGCAGTCTTATTAGCCTGCATTGTATTTCAGTCCGGTGCCCAAGAGAAGAATTATACTGTGAGGGAAGAACTGCCGGAAAATGTCCTGATTGGCAATTTGCTCAAGGATCTGAACTTGACACTGGACCCAGATGTGCCCCTTTCATCACCTCTTCAGTTCAAGCTTGTGTATAAGACTGGGGATGTGCCATTAGTCCGGGTGGAGGAAAACACTGGTGAGATATTCACTACTGCCAACCGCATAGACCGGGAGAAGTTGTGCTCTGGCATTTTTAGTGAGAACCGCTGCTTTTATGAGGTGGAGGTAGCAGTTTTGCCTGATGAAGTCTTCAGACTGGTCAAGATCAGATTCCTGATAGAGGATATCAATGACAATGCTCCCCTTTTTCCCTCAACAGTCATTAACATCTCCATCCCTGAGAACACAGCCATTAATTCCCGCTATTCTGTCCCTTCTGCCATCGATCCTGACATTGGAGTGAATGGCATTCAGCATTATGAACTTCTTAAGGTGGGTGTCTTTTATTCTTCTGTAGTACTGTGTGTTTTGATGTCACTACCAGTCCACAAACTTTGCTGGTCTTCACTAGATCACTGAAATGCAGAATTACCCTATATTGCCATCCTAGAGATGCACCATATTTGCCCTAAAATGTTAAGAGTATGCCCCTATTTGACTACATTAAAGCACATCATGTTATCACTTTGTGAAGATCTGTGTATGTATGTATGTGTTCACAGTATTATGTGATAAATAACATGATGTGCATGTATGTCTGTGTTAAGTGTCCACCAACCTGTATATGATTTTTATACAACTGGCCAAAAGTCTTCTCAGACCACTAAGGCATTTGCTCACCAATCACAGTATGACAGGCATGTTTACAACAGCTTGCGATGGACTAAATTTTTCCTACTGCTTGCAAATTAGATTTGAGCAGTGGAAAATCAGCTCAGGGGAACTTTTTTCCTTTATAAAAGACATAAGGAAGGTTCATTGACTCTCTGTTATATTAGTGTAAAGCTTGAATAACACATTTGCTGTCAATGGAGTTACTCCAGATTTACTCCTGTGCATCTGAGATCAGAATTTGACCCATAAATGCATCAAGAAAACTTTCAAGATTATTGGTTGGATCTTCGGCTGGTGGCAATGGAGCTACAATGATTTACATCTGTTAAAGATTTGGCCCAGTAAACAGAAGGTGTACTATAGAGGTTTCCAACTCATAGCAATTTTATTTGTCAAGAAGGAAGGTATTTCTTTCTTTCCTTTTTTTTTTTTTTGGTCATATATACACATACATTTTGTAAACAGCCCATATTCTAGCATGTGCTTAGTGCATATGATCAGCAGCCCTGGCAGTGAGGCATTTGAAAGAACAAAATAGACTTGTAAAATGGACATAAAAGGACTGATATAGATGAACACTTCCAAAGAAGGAAAGACTAGTCCCTCCATTGAACTGACTTGATCAGATTGTTTCTCTAATGATTGGGTAGGCCTGTGAGGGAGGGGTTGGAGAGGAGTTAAGTTATTCTCAAAGGCCATCCTAACAATGCCAATTTGCTTGTAACAAGCAGGGCATTTGACATTACACATCAGAAAGTACTGGAAAATACCAGCTTTTCTCTCCTCTGGCAATGAGAGGGGATGGGCTGAAATGCAGACAGATGTGGAATAGGGAATAAAAGAATAAAATGTAAGTGTGTGGAAATAGATGAGGAAGATTTATGGTCACTGCAAGGAGACAATTGCAGACAGATAATTGTTTGACATAAAGTTATGTGGCTCTCAAGTGAAGGTTTCTCTGTATATGGGTGTCCTTAACTGGAGTGTTCAAAACAAAAACTAGTTAAATCCTAAAACCTATTGGAATAGCATATGAGAGGCTGAAAATGTTCCCTCTCTCTGAAGGACTTGGGCATATCTCTGCACAGTTCACTAGACAGTCTCTCTCCACAGCAAGCATCCTGATTTACTGGCCGCCTCCTGCAAGAATGCATAATGGATGCAGGCTATTGCATCATTTGGCTGGCTAGATATCTAACAAACACTGAGACTGGTACTTACCAGCAATTTAATAAAAATAAAATACTGCTTAATTTTAGTTTTTTTTAAGTAGCTTACTGCCTGAATTACTTGTGGAGGAGTGGATACTAGCTAATGACAAAGGGAGGAAATTATCACTTGTCTTTATGGAAAGCTGTTAAAAAGCAGCAGCATTCCTTTTAAATTTCTCACACACTTAGGATCTGTGATGCATAGGCAACAAAGGGGCACTTCTGTGGTCTTGTGGACGTACACTGTGTAGGTCCTGACTGCTCATTAAAAATAATGGGAAGGCTTCACAAAGCGTAGCCTTGGGCATGCAGAAGCACATGGCATTGAAGGTGTTAATAGAGTAATCTTTTGACTTTAAAAAAGTCATCACAAGTCTGGCATATTTTGGGAGGAAAGTGTTATTGTGATTCATTTGTGATCTTCATTTGTTAACTGTGGTTTTAGGTAGATTTACAGTAAATAGGTAATGGAAAATGATTTATTTAAAACGATCCTCAATGTTGCAGCGCTGGGTGGAAATCTAATTCATCTTAACATTTTTTCTGCAGAAAATGAAGCCGAATGAGTTGAGGCTGGCTAAAGGGGAACAAGAAGGGCTTTTACAAATATGTCATGGGGAAAAAAAGAAATACTGGAGTGGTAGTAGACCCAATAATAAATGAGGAGGGAATGACATTAATGGTGACTCTAAAATGGCTGAGCTACTGAATTGCCTTTGTTATAAAAACCTAGCCTTTAGCAAGAAAAATAAAACAGAGGCTTTGAAGAATTCAGAAAGAATGAAAACCTTGTTAATAAAGGGAAACCAATGTGAATATTAGTATCTGTAGAAATCAGCCAGTACAGTTACTATGCATTGCAAAGTTCTTAAGAGAATTAACTAACAAACTTACTGGACAACTTGCAGTTTTTTTAAAAAGAGTAATGAAAGTACAATTTCAATATGAGCATCCACATCAGAACACCCCACATTGTTCCTTGGTCCCAGCCAAGAAACAATGTGGAGCAAATGTGGTATCTGTTTTTAAAAAAGAAAAAGAGCAGTTCTACTGAATAGTGTTCAGTGGACCAAATTCTCCGCCCAACTACACCATACTACCTTCTTTATAACAGTGGAAATGCCTGTTTATGTTTGAGAAATTGAGATCAGAATTATGCCCAGTAAATTGAACTTTTAAACCTAGTTAAATAATGGAACTATTCTTAAGAGGAGAAAATAGTCTATCAGTATCGAGATAACAGAACCATGAGCAAAAAGCGACATGCCTTTTATGGTATAAAGAATAAATTTTAGGTAGGCTTGGTCTAGCAGTTCCATAATCAATGTCAGCTCACACTGACTTTAGTGAGACTTTTGCCTGAATAAGGGCTGTGAAATCAGACCTGCAAATGTTTATTTTAATCCTACTGAAATGGGAATAATTGGACATGTTCTCTGTTGCCCTTGGGCCCCTTTATACTGCATCAGTAGTGGAAAGGGCTCAGAATGCATCCACATTCTGGTGAATATCACTGGCATCAGGAGGGGGGATCCCTCGGCTGGGGTGGTTCCATAACACCCCTTCCCTCTGTACCATGAATGCAGCATTTAACACAGAGGATGTCCCAGGCTCTGAGGTCAGGTTGCAGCCAGGACATCGTTGCTCTTGCTATACTCTCTTGTTGTTCTCAGCTGATCACAGCGCTTGCGGAGTATGGGCAGTCTGAACACAAGTTAGAGTAGCTTTGAGGCTGCTTTTAATTGAGGTGGGTGGAGAGTTGCAGGGAATCCCTCAAATAGAAAGGTTGGGAGTTTGGTACACACGGAGCTTGTGGCGGGTATGGGGAGATGGAGAGCCCCTGGTGTGTGCAATGGACTCAGCCTGCAGAAGCAACAAAGTGACTGTGTAGTAAATATACTGCAACAAAGTGGATATGTTGTTCTAGATTTAAACACAACATATTTGCAACATCCACAAGCTGTACAATACTTCCAGGGCATTATCTGCTTCTAGCCCTTTATTGACATTTCACTTTTTAATAATTTTAGCTAAGCCTTACTTGCTGCGTGCTTGAGGGCAGAGTTTATTTGTGATACGTGGAGAAGATTATTGCTACATATTTATCTATGAACCAACATAAATCTCACACTCAGAACTCATCTGAACTGCTTAAGGTCCTTAATAGCCAGGTTTTCAAGCAGTCTTAATTCTGGTTGGAAATATGACGACTTTCAGATGATTTTTCAGCAGTACCTGCCTTCCTCAATATTTATACAGTTAAAGGCATTCAATATATGTGATTGCCTTTAATATACAGAAATGATAGCATTACACCTCTCCAGATGAGGTAAAAGCAGTCAAAATTTTGCATTCTAATTCATTAGAATATTGCAAAATACATTATTAATCAGTTACAAAGTCATTTTAATATAAGACCATGCTCAGTGCATTTTTGGTAAAACAAAACAAATCATTATTTGAATCTATTGCCTATTATTAAAAATCTATGTAGTTAGCACCTTGGTAACTAATTATCTAATTTTAAATAGGAATAGTTTTTCCAGGTAGGTATATTTGACCCAGTTCCTGCAGTGAGCTCCACACAAGCACAGGAATATGCTCCAATGGAACTCGTTGCAAGATTGAGGCCATTACTTGTACTCTCCTAATGCAGGATTTAATTTGTCTAGTGTTGTGCACAGAAATTTTATAGAGATTTCTTTTCAGAAAGCTTATACTGACCATCTGAGGTTAGCATCCAACCCTCCTTTCCTGTCCATTTTTTCTAGGTTTCTAGGATGTGCCTCAGTAGGCAAGAACTTCCAATAAGTAGCTAAGTGATTCATTGTAAAACACATTCAAACTTTATAACTGACTCTCTGCTTCAACTGTACAGTGTTTGAAGTGTCTGAACTCTAACAGGCAGGCAGTTCCATCTATTCTGTGTGTTACTTCCTGTGGTGCTTGCTTAGAGAAGGCTGTAGGGAGGACAGATGGGAGAAGTGCTGGCTGAGTTTCAGAAAAAGACTATGTTTTTACATTTGCATAAAGGACCAGAATCTAGCAGAACAAATGGCATCTAGATAGACTTAAATAAATCACACATACTGTTATCCTGCCTAAAAGACTCTTTGCAGGTTGTAAAAAATTTTCGCCAATCCTGTAAGTGCAGTAGCAATTGCAATTGATCAGGCACTGCAAGAATACATTACTAATTGCTTCAGATAGGTTTTCAATAGGTTGCACTATTTTAGACTATATCACTTTAGCAGCACATAATAAGTTAGGTTCTCTTTTTTTCTAAGAACGTTCGAAGAAAATATGCAGTTATGCAAGTCATTTGCTGCTGGTATCCAAAGGAATTTGCTATTCTCATTTAGTCATAGACACAGCACTTTCATAGATTTACAGATTTCAAGGCCAGAAGGGACCATTGTAATCATCTAGCTGACCTCCTGTATAACA